TTTTAATCTGTTTTTTTTTTTTTTTGCAATAGTGATTGGGTTTTTTGGGGAGGAGGCGTAATGTTTTGGGTTGGTTGGTTTGTTAAATCTATTTGTAAGACGACTTCCTTTTTAGAGGGTTCTTACTTGGGAGAAGATGGATATATGCTCAAACCTCAAAAATAAAATTCTTCAGGAGCCAGGGGCTAGGGATCTTCCACTAAATGGCAGCCTCGTTTCTGGAGCTGCTGCTCAGGAAGGGTTGGTACGGTTTCTGTACATAGTGTCACCCTCAGACTTGTATTATGAGGATAATGTCCATGATGGTAGAGATGGCCCTGTGGGGGAGCAGATGGAGAACTGGAGCTCTGCCCAGGCCTCCAGCAGCTGGTAACAGAACTAAGACCTGGAGCCCTGCTAACTATAAACGGGGGCTTCAAACCAGTTTGTTCTGGTTTGAACCCCTGCTGAGAATTTGCATTTCTAACAAGTTCCCAGGTGATGCTAATGCAGCTGGTTAGAGACCAATTCTGAGACCCACTAGTAGAGCAGTGGTTCTCAAAATTTATTATACATAAGAATCACCTGGGGATCTTGTTAAACTATAGATTCTGATTCAGTATATCTGGGGTGGAAATGCAAATTTTCAGCAAGGGTTCAAACCAGAACAAACCAGTTCTAAGCTCTGTTATAAACTCAGGGCCCCATTCAGGGGCTTTGGAATCAGACTGAGCTAGGTTGGAGTTCTGGCTCTAATGCTTACAGCTATGGGAACTTTGGGAAATTACTTCTTTTGAGACGATTTCCCCACCCGTGAAACTGGGATGTTGTCTACCTTAGTATGAGCTGTTGTCCCATATAATCCTGAGTGCCCGATGGTTTTGGGCACACAATAAGCATCTTTTGGCCATTGTGCCCTGACAAAAGGCCCATGATACTGGTTACTCCAGACAGGAAATGCTATGTCTTCCTCAAAAAGTGAAAGATAAAATTACCATTATTGTTTTTGTTGTTGTTGCATTGTGCTTTCAAGTCAATTCTGACTCATGGTGACTCACTCAAGAAATTCTACTCTTATGTACTGTATACTATAAAGAATTGAAAGCAGGGACTCAAACAGGTATTTGTACACCAATGTTCACTGCAGCATTATTCACAATAGCCAAAAGGTAGAAACAACCCAAAAGTCTATCAACAGATGAACGGATAAACAAAACATGATCCACGTGTACAATGGAATATTACTCAGCCATAAAGAAAAATGAAGTTCTGATAGATGCTACAATATGGATGAACCTTGAAAACATGCTGTGTGAAAGAAGCCAGACATAAAAGGATAAATATTGTATGATTCTACTTAAATCACATGTCTGGAGCAGGCAAATCTGTAGAGACAGAAAGTACATTAGAGGTTATCAGAGCCTGGAGGAGAGAGGAGAGTAGGGATTATTGCTTAATGGGTACAAAGTTTCTGTTTGGAATGGTGAAAAAATTTTGGAAATAGGAAATGGTGATAGTTGCACAACATTGTGAATATAATTATTGCCACTGAATTCTACACTTAAAAATGGTGGAAATGGCAACTTTTATAGTATATGTTTTTTACAAAAATAAAATAAAAACAAATTGAAGTGCCTTAGATCCTTAGACTTAGACCCTTTCCAGGGTTCCTGATGGTCTCCTTTGGGCCAGGGATTCTGTGTCATTACCAGGCCTCTTCAGGGGAGGAAATACTATACATCTTACCTCTTGGAAATCTAGGATGTAACTTCCCATTTACACACAAATCTCTAGATTCCAACTGATGATCCTCTTGACATTGGTTATGACAGCAACTGGAAAACTCATTTTGAGATGGTGTTTTAAAAACTACCATGACTAATAGCAATTATTTACTTTATAGTAAAAAAGAGTAACCCCTTTCTTCCTTATGGGGCAGAATTTGAAATGACTTAAAAATGAGTGAAAGGATAGAACATTGTTACTCTCTGGCCTGGAACTTCCGGTGCAGAGATTGTCCTGTGACACACTTCTCTTCCCTTCTAGATGCCCTGGGTTCTGGTGTGTTGCTGGGAATAAAGCTGCCTTCAACTGGAGCTTTTACTGAACTAATCTAAAGCCTGGGATTGTCTTAAGCAAGTTTCTATGACGTGGTCCTTCTGGTAAATGGGCAGCAAATGAAGGATTTGTGGATGTCATTTGGGACCCTCTATATTCCACGTCTTGTGTGGACTTGACTTTGGTAACAGAATGGTTGAGAGCCTCGTTAATGTTCTTTGGAACCATTGTGGCACTCTCTACCTCTGAGAAGTTCTGTTCTTGGTGAATTCCAGGAAGTAATTTGCATTTCCCACTCTCAGATTTGCAGACAAGTTGTTAGCTATTCTTGCCCAAGCTCCAGAGGAGACTAGAACATTAAAGCAGGAGAAGTACCAAGATGAAGCCCAGAAAGACTGAGCGGGCTGATGGTCTGCCTCTGCTATGAGAGTCAGCTGATGTGTTTTCCTGCAGCTCCAGTCTTGCTGTGGCAGCCTGCTGGCCCTTTGGTTGAGGAACTTGCCCCTGTCCCAGTTGCCACTGTTCCAAGTAGTCCCTCTAACGTTATCATTCTGTTGTTCTATCTCAACCTCCTGGTCGCTTGCTGGTTCTGTTCTCTTGCTCTCTGATATGAGTGTGATCAAGACTCAATCCTTGTTCTCCTGCTCTCAGAGTCGTCTCTTATTAAGACATCAGTCTTGGATCTAAACTCACCCATGAACTTCTCCAAGTTGTTTACACAGACCCATCCAAACTGCTATGTCTAAATTAGGCTTTCCTGCCAAAATTGTTTCCAGCTGTTATCCACTCACAAATAGAGTCTATTGGTCTTCTGTAGCCTGTTTTCTCCTTTTTATAATGTAGTCTGAACCATCCTGTATACTTGGAAACAGGTGGATATTTACTGCATGTGTCTAAGAAATGTCATTCCCTTTTGCCTTGTAGAAAGTTCAACTTGGCCTGATTTGAGTAATTTCTTCTGAGTGCCAACTCCCTTTGCCATCTTAACACCACTGTCCTTCAACAAATTTTTGAGTACATGCTATGTGCTGTGCATTGTGAAGGGGCCAAGGAATTGAACCTAAGACACACATGGTCCCATTTTCTTTGAAAATAGGGGGAAGAAGATGGACAAATAAGAAAATAGTAGTGTAAAAGCTGTAGAGAAAATGAAAAGAGTCAATTGAGAAAATACTTAGTCTCATCCAGTTGTCACCAAGTTGTCCAACTCATGGCCACCTCATGTGTGTCAGGTTAGAGCTGTGCTCCATAGGGTTTTCAATGGCTGATTTTTCAGAAGTAGATCGCCAGGGCTTTCTTCCAAGTTGCCTCTGGGTGGACTCAAACTTCCAACCTTTTGGTTAATAGCCAAGCTTAACCGTTTGCACCACCCAGGGACTCCTAGAGTCTTAGATAGGTAAGACTTCTAGAGGTGATGTTTAAGCTGAAATTGCATGACAAAGAGCTAATTATGCAGAGATTTTGGGAGAACATCTGTAGAAGGAACAGCTTGTCCCAAGTCCCTCAGTGTGGTCTTAAAAGCTAGCGAGAGGCCATCTAAGATGCATCAATTGGTCCCAACCCAGCTGGAGTAAAAGAGAATGAAGAACACTAAAGTCACAAGGAAAGTATTAGCCCAAGAGGCACAAAGGGCCACATAAACCTGAGACTGCATCAGCCTGAGACCAGAAGAACTAGATGGTACCTGGCTACCACCAATGACCACCCTGACAGGGAACACAACAGAAAGTCACTGATGGAGCAGGAGAAAAGTGCCGGCGCAGAACTCAAATTCTAGTGAAAAGACCAGACTTAATGATCTGACTGAGACTGGAGGAACCCCAGAAAGCATGGCCCCTGGACTCTCTGTCAGTCCAGAACTGAAACTATTCCCGAGGCCGACTCTTCAGCCAAAGATTAGACTGAACTGTAGGACATAGTGATAGTCATGAGGATTGGGCATCTTGGCTCAAGTAGATACATGAGACTAAATGGGCGGCTCCTGTCCAGAGGTGAGATGAGAAGGCAGAGAGGGTCAGGAGCTGGTTGAGTCGACACAGGAAATCTGGGGTAGAAAGGAGGAGTGTGCTGTCACAGCGTGGGCAGAGCAGTTAGGGTCACATAACAATGTATAAATTTTTGTACGAGAGACTAACTTGAATCGTAAACTTTCACTTAAAATACAACAATAAAATAAAAAGCTTCAAAGTCTCTCAATGTGGGAAAAGCTTGGTATACTTGATAACAGAAGGCTAGAAGGTCTAGAGCCAGTGATCAAGGAAAGAGTTGTTGGAGAGGAGGTAGGCTGGGGCTAGCTCACGCTGGGTATCATAAGGAGTCTGAGTTATCTTCTAAGCTCAGTGGGCAGCCAGTAGAAGGTTTTGAAATAGAGGAGTTACATGCTGAGATTCTTTTCTTTAAAAGATTACATGACTGCTGTGTAGAGGATGGAGTGGGACAAGGCAATGGTAGAGGCAGGGTGACCAGCTGGGAGGTAATTGCAGTAGTGTAGGTGATAAGATGGTGGTGGCTTGTACCAGGGTGGAGGCCATCTACCAACAATCTAGAAGGAGTGAGTCACGTTAGAGACTGTTCTGACCAAACGTGCTGGTGGGCTGAGCGTGGGAGCAATGGGTCATTGTCCTAATGCAGCCTGGCTGGGTTCCTCACCATCCTACAGATCTTCCCTGTACAAAATTCCTGAAAGGGTTCTGTGCTCGTCTTCCAGGCCCATCCTAGCTGTCAAAGGCCCAGTTCAAGCCAAACTGCCTCTAAAAGTTTCCCTTAGTACTGTTTCAAGAGCTCCCATGGTGCTCATTGCCCATTGAGCTGATATGGTGATGCCTACAGAAGCTACTCCCCATTCCACTGTGAGCCCTAAAGGTTTACAGCCAGATTGCTTTACTGTATTAACCCACACACTGGGCACTGAAAATCTCTTTGGAACTGTCCTACCTACAGGTGATTTACTTCTTCCAGTCAGTATGCCGACTTTAGAAGCTCCAGAAGAGAGGCTAAGGAAATTTAAGTACCGAGGCAAAGATGCATCGGTGAGTATGAAGCAACTACCTCTCTCTATCAAGGGCTACCCCCCCCCCCAAAAAAAAGAAAAACCAAACCCATTGCCGTTGAGTCAATTCCGACTCATAGTCACCCTATAGGACAAAGCTGAACTGCCCTATAGGGTTTCCAAACAGTGGCTGGTAGATTCGAACTGCTGACCTTTTGGTTAGCAGCCAAGCTCTTAACCACCTTGCCACCAGGGCTCCTATCAAGGGCTACTGCAGTAAAAAGCACGTGGTTGAAATGTCAAAAATTGGATGTAGAATTGGAGGGATGGGCAAATATAGCAAAATGATCATTGTAAATAGGTACATGGGTAGTCACTGAATACTTCTTTCAACTTTTCTGTATGTTTGAAACTTTCATAATAAATATTGAGGTGGGGAGGAAAAAAGCCCGTGGACAACTGGGGACTCAAATGAAGACCTCCGTGTGATCTTGAAACTAACTTCAGAACTTCAGTCTCTTAATCTATAAAACAGGGCTGCTATCTACGTCTTAGGATTTGGATAGCAGGTTCAAATGCCTGGCATGTAGAGGTTAGCCGTAGCTGATCATGCCAGTGAGTCTAACCAAGGGGCTAAAATGTTTGGGATGCAGGTATGGCCAACAAGCATGGCACAGCCTTGCAGAAGTAGAACTCAGAACTGAAGCATCTACCCTGTTCTCCTCGCTGCTGGGGTGAAAGGGAGGGCCTGGGGCAGGGAACCTGCTCTGTGTGTTGATGTCTGTAGCTCCCATTTGGGCTCTCTGGTCCCATAGTGGTCTGGCTTTAGCTCTGCATCCTACATCTATGTAGTTCAATCAAGGTATCGTATACAATTTGCTATACCTTGGGAATCTGAAAGGCAGCTGAGAATGAAGGAAGCAAAAAGTCATAGCAGCCTGGTCAGGACATTGTCGGAAGCCAAATCGCTCTTATAGTAATCTGTTCCTCTGTCCCTTCATCCCATTTTTGATGCACCTGCTTCCAAGACCACCGTAGAGTAAAGAAAACAAACTAGAACAAAGGAATTAAATGGTCTTATGTGGAGAGCACCGGGAAGGGCCAACCAGATGGGAAGGGAGAAGTCAAAGGTACAAACCCCTCCACAGTCAGGGCTCCCTTAGTGAATGGGCAACAGTACAACTGGCTTGATAGGCAATGAAGGTGTTTCTGCATTGTCATTTAACATCATGATGACCCTATTTTCAAGCAAGCATTAAACAGTTTTCTGTAGCTTGTTTAAGGAACCGGAAGTATCTAATATATATTTACTTCCTTATAAGCAATACTTGGGATAGTGGTGGTTCAGTGGTAGAATTCTCTCCTCCCTTGCAGGAGATCTGGGTTCGATTCCCGACCAGTGCACCTCACGCACAGCCACCACCCATCTGTCAGTGGTGGTTTGCACGTGACTATGATGCTGAACAGGTTTCAGCAAAGCTTCCACACTAAGATGGACTAGGGAGAAAGGCCTGGCAGTCTACTTCTGAAAATCATTTGATGAAAACCCTATCGATCACAGTGGTCCGATCTGCAACTGATCACAGGGATGGCACAACACCCGGCAGCATTTTGTTCCATTGTGCATGGGGTCGCCATGAGTCGGGATAACTCGACAGCAGCTAACGACAACATAATATTTAAAAGCCTTCAACCTAAACCCCATTTATCCAGAAAGGTTACATCATTTCCCAAGGTTCTCATTACCATGAAGTCTGTTAGTTTGATTGATACAAGGAGAAGAGTGTTTGATCTTAATGTCCCTTGGTCTGGCATCCAAGTGAAGCTCCTAGGACTGGATTAAGGCTTGAGTGACCTATAGACCAATATCACAAGGGTGTATGGGGCCTGGACATTTCCTTAATTGTCCCCAGCTCCATCTGTCTCCCCACAGTTAGGAGGTCCAGGAGGTAGCAATCCTCTTCAGGATCTAATTCACATCAGTGAAGATGTGCTCAGGCTCGGGGCAACGGGATGTTTGTTCAAATGTCTTCAGAGCTAAGACTCCTATTGAGGGTATGCATTTGCTTCCTTGAATTTGGGAGGAAGATTGAATATTTTTCTAGATACGGTATAGAAGGAGAGAGCCGAGGAAATATACAGGGCTGGGGCTATTTGCTAGCTGTGTGTCTTCCAGCCTGTTGCATCTGTAAAAATCAATGCTTTCAAGCTTGTTCTAAAGACTCAGCATGCTAACTCCTGACTCCCGGCTCTAAGTGCTCACGTTCTTTCTATTCCTTACTAGATGAGGCGGCAACAGCGGATGGTGGTCAGTCTGGAGCTCCGGAAGGCCAAGAAGGACGAGCAAGCCCTAAAGAGAAGGAACATCACTGATCTCTCCCCCAACCCAAGTTCTGAGAAACTGGCCAAAGCGGTGTGTCAGAACGTGGCGTTTAGAGCAGCTGTGTGTAAAATACGGCCTTAGCAAATGTCTCTGGCTTGAATGTATTTAATAGATTCAGAGACTTACAGGCTGTAACTTAGGGTCTCTAAGGAAAGCAGAGGAGTCCCTGGGTGGTACAAACAGTTAACATGCTTGGCTGCTAACCAAAAGGTTGGAGTTTCATGTCCACCCAGAGGCGCCTTGGAAGAAAGGCCTGGTGATCTACTTCTGAAAAATCAGCCATTGAAAACCCTGTGAAGACAGTTTTAACCTGACACACATGGGGTTGCCATGTGTCGGAGTCAATTCAGTGGCAACTGGTACAGGTTAAGGAAAGAAGCAGAGAGAGAATTGTTAGCAGAAGGCTAACAGCCATCACTCCTGTGGCTGTGGGTCTGTGGGATCTATGTTCTAATGGGGGATGGAGAAGGTGCCATTTCTAGTGGAGAATTCAATTGCCCTCCCTAAGCCTGGAAAGTTAGGAAATGAGGGTTTCTGAAGATTATTTCTCAGTTGAGGCGTTCAGTCACTGGACACAGAAAGTTTGCCTAAGCTTGGATGCTGCCCTGTGTCTTCAGTTCTCCATCTACTCCAACCTCAGTAAACATAAATCCTGGCTTGACTTCAAGGGCAGGACTGTTCTCATGAATCCTTTTCAGGAACTCCAATAACGTTGTATTTCCATGTGTCTTACGTACGTCACTCTCTGTCTTGTTAACTATCTGTGGGCATCATCTGTATCCTGCCAGAGATGATTCAAGTATTGCCAAGTGGATCTAAAGATATATTACTGTTCATTGAATGAAATGGGTACAGTCGTTCTATGCATTGCCATAGGAATCTGAGCCATATCACTTTTAGCTTCATTTCTATCCTCAAGCTACTGTTCTTTGCATTTGTCTAGAGTAATTGGAAAGCGCTGGTGGTGTGATCATTAAAGCGTTTGGCTGCTAACCAAAAGGTTGGCAGTTTGAACCAACTCGCTGCTCCACAGGAGAAAGATGTGGCAGTCTGCTCCCATAGATTGCAGCTTTGGAAACACTATGGGGCAGTTCTATTCTGTCCCGTAGGATTGCTAGGAGTTGGAATTGACTTGACGGCAATGGGTTTGGTTTTTGTGGGTGGCGCAACTGTTAACATGCTCAACTGCTAACCAAAAGGTTGTAGGTTCAAGTCCACTGGGGCTCCTAGGTGATGCAAATGGTTTGTGCTCAGCTGCTAACCTAAAGGTTGCTGGTTCAAACTCACCCAGCAGTACCATGAAAGAAAAGGCCTGGCGATCGGCTTCCCTTAAGATTACAGACAAGAAAACCCTATGTCAAATGCTCACGGACTCCAGGCTTTCTGGAGCTATGGGGACTGAATGAACCCCTGAAATTATTGCCCTCAGATAATCTTTAAAACTTAAGCCAAAACTTAAGCATCTTGGAAGAAAGGCCTGACAATCTGCTTCTGAAAAATCAGTCATTGAAAAATCTATGGAGCATAGTTCTACTCTGACACACATGGTGCTACCATGAGTTGGAGTTGATTCAATGGCAAGCGGTTAGTCCCTAGGACTTTTCCTTCCAAGGAAGACAGAACTGTGACACAACACTATGAGAAAAGGAATTGTTTTTCTTTTTAGCCCAGATTAAAAAACAAGCCAAAAAAAAAAGCAGTTGTCACTGAGTTGATTCCAACTCATGGTGACCCCTGTGTTGCAGAGTAGAACTGTGCTCCATAGGGTTTTCATGGCTATTACCTTTCAAAAACAGCACATTTCAAATATAGCACTTTTTTTTTAATCCATTCATTGCTTGATGGACATTTGGGTTGTTTCTACTCTGGGGCTATTATGAATAATGCTAAGGCCCCTTTAGGCCAAAAAACCAAACTTATTACCATCAAGTCGATTCCAACTCATAGCAACCCTATAGGATAGAGTAGAACTACCCCATAGGATTTCCAAGGAGTGGCTGATGGATTCAAACTGCTGACCTTTTGGTTAGCAGCCAAGCTATTAACTACTGCGCCACCAGGGCTCCTAGGCGATACAAATGGTTTGTGCTCGGCTGCTAACCTAAAGGTTGCTAGTTTGAACTTACCCAGCGGTACCGTGAAAGAAAAGGCCTGGCGATCGGCTTCCCTTAAGATTACAGACAAGAAAACCCTATGTCAAATGCTCATGGACTCCAGGCTTTCTGGAGCTATGGAGACTGAATGAACCCCTGAAATTATTGCCCTGAGATAATCTTTAAAACTTAAGCCAAAACTATCCCCTGATGTCTTCTGAAAACCAAACGATAGTTTGGCTTAACTAGTAAAAAATGCCTCCCTTGAGCATTGTGCTCTTTTAAGACTATCTGTATGGGATCAAAATGACAACAGCAACTGGAAAGATAGGAACCTTAGGGGGTGGTGAGTTTATGTTAATGGGAGAGGAACAGCTCAGAAAAGGAGGGTGAGAGTGGTTGTACGACATGAAGAATGTAATCAACGTCACCGAATTGCACACATAGAAACTGTTGAATTGATTTTGCTGTGTATAGTCACAACAAAATATTTCAGCCTAGAAAACCCTATAGGGCAGCTATACTCTGTAACGTGGAGTTGTCATGAGTTAGAATCGACTTGACGCAACTAACAACAAACCCTATGAACAATGCTGTTACGAGCATTCACGTACAAGTTTTTGTGTGAACATATGTTTTCATTTTTCTTGATTATATCTAGGAGTGGAATTGCTGGGTCATAATATATAACACTATGTTTAACTCTTTGAGGAACGGCCAGACTCTTTTTCAAAGTGGCTGTATCATTTTACATTCCCACCAGAGGTGTATAAGGGGTCCAGTTTCTTTACATCGTTGTCAACACTTATATTTGTCCATCTTTTTTTATTATAGCCATCCATTATAGTGGTTGTGAAGTGGTATCTCATTGTGGTTTTGACTTACATTTCCCTGATGGCTAATGATACTGAGCGTATTTTATGTGTTTATTGGCCATTTCTACCTCTTCTTTGGAAAAATGTCTATTTAAATCTTTTATTAGTTTTTAAAAATCACATTCTTTGTCTTTTTATTATCTCTTGTAAAAATTCTCTATGTACTTTAGATAGTAGATCCTTATCATATATGATTTGCAAATATTTTCTCCCATTCTGTGGGTTGTCTTTTCATTTTCTTGATGGTGTCCCTTGACAACAGTTTTTTAATTTCGATGAAGTCCAATTATCCCCCCATCCCTTTAGTTACTTGTTCTTTAGATGTCATATCTAAGAAACCCTTGCCTAACCTAAGGTCACAAAGATGTATGCCTGTGTTCCTTTCAATGAGTTAATATATTTTTAGCTCTTAAATCCATTTTTTAAATAATTTTTGTATATGGTATGAGGTAGGAGTCCAACTTCATTCTTTCGCATGTGGATAATCAGTTGTCCTAGAACCGTTTGTTGAAGACTATTCTCTCGATCATTGATTGTCTTGACACCATTGTCAAAAATCAATTGACAGTAAATGTGAGGGTTTATTTCTGGACTTGCAATTCTATTTGATCTATATGTCTACCCTTATATTGGGACCGCACTATCTTGATTACTGTGGATTTGTAGTAAGTTTTGAAATTGGAACTTTATTCTACTTTTCAAGATTGTTTTGACTATTCTGGGTCCATAGAATCTCCATATGAATTTTAGGGTCATCTTGTCAATTTCTTCAATATGGGCAGCTTAGATTTTGATAGGGATTGTGTGGAATCTGTAGAACATTTGTTATCTTAACGATATTAAGTATTCCAATTCACAAACAGGATATCTCTTTCCATACGTTTAGTCTTTAATTTTTGTTGTTTTTAAGTGTACAAGTCTTGGAATTCTTTCACTAAATGTATTACTAAGTATTTTATTCTTTTTGATGTTGTAAATGAAATTGTTTAATTTCAATTTCAGATTGTCAGTATATATTGCTAGTATATGGAAATAAAATTAATTTTTGTATATTGATCCTACAACTTTGCTGAACTTGTTTATTAGCTCTAAATGTTATTTGTGGATTCCTGAAGATTTTCTGTATACAAGATAATGTCATCTGCAAATAGAAATCGTTTTAGTTCTTCCTTTTCAATATGGATGATTTTTATTTATTTTTGCCTAATTGCCCTGTGTAGAACCTCCAGTACAATGCTAAATAGAAGTGGCAAGAGTAGACATTCTTGTCTTGTTCTTGATCTGAGGGGAAAAGCTTTCAATCTTTTCTCCATTAAGTATGATGGTAGCTGTGGGTTTTTCATAGATGCCCTTTATCAGGCAGAGAGTATTCTTTTCTATTCCAAGTTTGAACGTTTTTATCATGAAAGTGTCCTTGATTTTGTCAAATGCTTTTTCTACATCTTTTGAGATGATTATGTGAGTTTTTTCCTTTATTACATTAATATGGTGTATTACATTGATTTTCATATGTTGAACAAACTTTATATTTCTGGAATAATGTATATATACACTTGGTCAGGGTGTATAATCATTTTTTGTTGTTGTTACTAGACTTGGTTTGCTATATTTAATACTTTGAGGATTTTTGCATCTATATTCACCAGGGATCTTATTTTATAGTTTTCTTATGATGTCTTTATCTGGTTTTGGTATCCGGGTAATACTGGCATCATAGAATGAGTTGAGAAGTGTTTCCTCTTCTGTTTTTTGGAAGAGTTTGTGAAGGATTAGTGTTACTTCTCCTTCAAATGTTTGGAAAAAATTCACCAGTAAACCCATCTGGGCTTGGGCTTTTCTTTAAATTAATAATTTAAATATTTTAAGTGTTTTTTTAAATTAATAATTCAATCTCTTTAAGAGATTGCCAGTAATTCAGTTGACTCTTCTTGAGTTAATTTTGGTAGTTTGTGTTTCCAGGACTTTGTCTGTTTCATCTATATTATCTAATTTGTTGACCTGCAATTGTTCCCTTATAATCCTTGTTATTTCCATAAAGTCAATAGTAATATCCTCACTTTTCATTCCTGATTTTAGTAATTTGAATCTTCTCTCTTTTTTTTGACTTGGTCATTCTAGCTAAGGGTTTGTCAATTTCATTGCTCTTTTAGATAATCAACTTTTGGTCTTATTGATTTTTCTATATTTCCCACATTCTTTCATTTATTTCCATTCTAGTCTTTATTATTTCCTTCTTTCTGCTTGCTTTGGGTTTAATTTGCTCTTATTTTAAAAGTTTTTTTTTTTAAGGTGTAAAATTAAATTACTGATTTGAGATCATTCTTCTTTTTTAATATAGACATTTATAGCTATAAATTTGTTTCTAAGCCCTGCTTTAGCTGTATCCCAGAACTTTTGGTATGTTGTATCTTTATTTTCATTCATCACGTAGTATTTTCTAATTTCCCTTGTGTTTTTTTTTTCTTCGAGCCATTGGTTATTCAAGAGCGTATTGTTTAATTTTCACATATTTGTGAATTTCCCAAGTTTCCTTCTGTTACTGATTTCTAATTTCATTTCACCGTGGTCAAAGAACATAGTTTGTATGATTTCAATCCTTTTAAATTTGTTGAGATGCTTTATGGCCTAGCACATTGTCTATCCTGGAGAATGTTCCATGTGTACTTGAAAAGAGCATGTATTCTGCCATAGTTGGGAGAATGCCTAGTCAGGTACAATAAAGAGAACTTTGCAAGTGAAGTTTTCCAGGGAACCACCAGACAGGTCAGATAATGACAATTCTCTGGGAATAAGGTTTTGAAGGCGTACCAACCCCAATTTATTTTTTCCAGTGGCTGCCAGGCTGTTGGTTTTCACCATGATTTGGGGCTGTTGGTTTCCAAAGCTACCGTGGAGCTGGAGAGGGGGCAGCAGGAATAAAGCAGCTTAAAATCTCACAGAATTTAACTGCTCTTACCAAGATCCAGTCTTTTTCTTGAATAAACACTTCCTGGCTTGAATAAACCAAATTGCTGCAAGACATTAGTTAATTTCTAGAATTCTGAAAAAATTGATTCTGACCATTTTTGCAGTTGTCTTGTTGGCTTTTGTGGAGGAAGAATTTTCAGAGGTCCTCACTCTGCCATTTTGTGCTGATGTCCATTAGCATGCTCTTGCCACATGCCTTTAAAGAGATACTGGGGATCCAAGGATGATAACAATTAACCTCCTCCAGTGCATGGAATCCTGTGGGACCGCCAGTGTCTTTTCCCTCCTTAACATGGACTAGTGTGCAGGAAGGGGCATCCTGTTCAAGCCAGCCTGTTCTAATCAGACAGATGATTAGACTAGATGACCTTCACCATTCCTTTTGGCAGAGACTCTGACCTGAATGCCTCTCCTTGCAGGTCAGCCTCACCCTGGATGAAATAGTCAGTCGTGTGAATGGCACAGACCCGCACCTATGTTTCCAGGCCACCCAGGCAGCCAGGTATCACCAGAGAGACTCTTGCTGTTTGCTGGCTTAGAGCTAGAAATGAGCTCAGTAGCCTATTTGATTTCTTGGCAGTGGCAAAATGCCCACAAAATACAAAAGTGTAGTCCTTCCAGAAGTGAGACTCAATTGCTACTTTACGCTGTCCTTGAGGACAACTTAAAATATGCAGTGTGTTGTCAGAGATGAATTGCTTCATTTAAATTGGCCTCTATAGGAATCTCTGCTCATAGATAATACCTGTAGAGAAAATGTTGCTTCATCACTACCCAGTTCTATGGGCTCAGCTCTAAGGTACTGAGAGCTCTGGCCCAGCTGTTTGTCTTACTTGATTGATAGTTAGGAATGCCGACCACATCTACAAGGGAGGTTCTTACTACCCGCCTTTATGTGACTTGTTTCTTTAATTCTCTTTCATTGCATAGGAAAATGCTGTCCCAGGAAAGGAACCCTGCTCTAAAACTGATTGTTGAAGCAGGGCTTGTCCCCAGGCTGGTGGAGTTCCTGAAGTCTTCCCTTTACCCCAGCTTGCAGTTTGAGGCAGCCTGGGCTCTGACCAACATTGCTTCAGGGCCGTCAGAGCTGACCCAAGCTGTTGTGGAAGGAGGTGCCGTCCAGCCCTTGATTGAGCTCCTGTCTTCCCCTGATGTGGCTGTGTGTGAACAGGCAGTGTGGGCTCTTGGTAATATAGCAGGTGAGCCTCTCCCCTTAGTGGGCTAAGAAAAGTGGTCCAGGCACGCGGCAGGTATGGAAACCCTTTGGGCAGTGTGGTGGGCCTAATATTCTGGAACCCCTGCCAGGATTGTTGTTGTTAGTTGCTGTCAAGTCAGCTCCAAGTCACGGTGACCTTATGTATAACAGAATGAAACATTACCTGGTTCTGCGCCATCTTCATAATCGTTGGTACGTTTGAGCCCATTGCTGCAGCTATTGTGTCAATCCATCTCATTGAGGGTTTCCTTCATTTTTGCAGATCTCTACCAAACATGATGTCCTTTTCTAATGATTGGCCTCCCAGGATAAATACCTAGAAATGCTGGCAGAAGTACAACAAGCCTTTTCAAAATTCAGAACCAAGTTTAGAAGCCAAAAAAAAAAAAAAGAATCTGAAAGCAGAGTGATAGGGTGTGTGCTGAAGCTACAGGTTCCTGGGGACATCTGCCAATACCTGGGTCCTAATGGCCTCAGGAAACCCTGGTGGTGCAGTGGTTAACAGATTGGCTGCTAACCAAGAGGTCAGCAGTTCGAATCCACCAGCTGCTCCTTGGAAATCATATGGGGCAGTTCTACTCTGTCCTATAGGGTCCATTATGAGTCAGAATCGACTCAGCGGCAATGGGTTTGGTTTTTAATGGCTTCAGGGACAAAAGATAGGGTCTCTGGGGGGAAAAACAGTTTGTGCTGGACTACTAATGAAAAGCTTGGTTGTTTGAACCCACCCAGCGGTGCCATAGAAAAAAGGCCTGGTGATCTGCCTCCGTAAAGATTACAGCCAAAAAAACCCTATGGAGCTCAGTTTTACTTTGTAACACATGCGGTCACCATGAATCAGAATCATCTCAACGGCTTCAGGAACAAAAGATAAGGCTTTGGCCTGGGCAACACAGGCGGTTGTGACAAAACCTTGCATAACCCGGGACCTTAAAAGGACTATACTTTCACTGAAGTATACCTCCATTGAAAGTTGCCAAGGGAAGACATAAAAAAAGTGTGTTACTCTGGCTTGGGATAAAGTCTTCCCTGAGAACTCGATCATATGAGTACCATCATGGATTTGGGGCTTTATTCTTCCACACTCTAGGAAAGTACAAGCTAAGGAATTAGTGCTGCAGGGTTAGAAGCCCTACCCTCACCCCAGATTCCTGACTGAAATAAATGAAATACTTTCTGGGGAAACAAACTCAATTGGGCCCCTCAGGATTTCGACAAATTACGATCAGCCAGATATTAGCAATTTGAAGTTCAGAGAAGGAACCACCCACCATGACCGAATGAGCAGAAACAAACAGGATGATTAGAACTTCAAGGACTTGAGATACTGGAATTAGCAGCTACAGAATACAAACTCAGTCTGTTTTTGATGTGCTTGCAGACATAAAGCACCTATCCCAGAGACTTTCTGTCTCTCATTTTGCATGGGTCAGTAGGGAACAGGCAAGATTGGGTGGTGTAAGGTTACTGATGCCTTGCCTGATGGCTAAAGAATACACACCGAGACTTCTAGAGTCTAACATTGGTCATCAAGCCCAAGAAGCAGACAGTGGAACGCCAGCACCTATTGATTTTCCAGATTTTGCTTTGAGTTGCATTTGGAGGTTACGGCCCCATGTCGAAGTCTTCTGGGAAGACAGCTTTGTTTTCCTGAGAGCCATGCTGTGAAATGCAGCCAGCATTCAGAGTACACTCCCTGGGCCTTTCTATGTCCATAGCCTCTGCTTATAGCAGCTGTTGCTGTGTGGCATCTCTGCTTTCCATGTCAAGCTTGTCCAACCAACCAATACCTTACAGACTCAGGATCTCATATGTGGCTATCCTATCTACTTGCCAAACCCAAGAATGAGTTTAGATCTCTCACCTGTTGAGCAGACCTTTTTTTTTTTTTCTTTTTTTAAAACTAGTCACCAACCCCAGGGTTTCTCTTTGTGTCATGCTCTGATCTACTTGTAGGTGACAGCCCGGAGCTCAGAGACATTGTTATCTCAAGCAATGCCGTCCCGCATCTGCTGGCCTTGGTTTCATCAACCGTATCAGTGAGTGTCTTTAAATTAGAAACCTAGCTAGGTGACAAACTCTCAAGGTTGGGAAATCTGGGGGGAGGAGGTCCAAATCAATACTAGATCATGTGGCTGCTGCTCCTTATAACTGGCCCTTTACAACAGCATTTGTGAACAAGGTCCAGTACTCAGTATCATTTTGGCTAAAGATTGACCCGGGTTTGTCCGTAGGGGCCAGTAGTGCTGACCTTTCTTCTGGGGTATTGGAAGAGGTCCGTTAAAGTTTTTCTAAGCTTAACATCCTGCAAAAGTAGATGAGATTGAGTTCATTTGAGGGTACAGACAGATTTAATGGCTCTTCAGTTCTGTTCATGGGTAATAGGGTATAGGTTTGGAGTTAGAGTCAAAGTTGATTGATGTGGCAATAATAGAGGACTCCCTGGATCAGGAATTAAATTTGGGTTTGATTTACCACAAACAGAAATGAAGACGAGGTAGCTTTGCAAATTCAAGGGAATCCAAAGAAGATATAGAAAGACCAATAAGCACATGAAAAGATATTCATCATTATTAGCCACTAGAAAAATCCATATCAAAACCACAATGAGACACCACCTCACACCCACTAAGATAGCTTTCATTAAAGAAAAAAAAACAAGCGTAGGTGAGGATGTAAAGAAATTGTGTATTGCTGGTCGGAATGTAAAATGGTGCAACTCTGTAAAAAATAGTTTGATGGTTCTTCAAAAAGTTAAACATAGAACTACCATATGAACCAGCAGTTCCACTCCTAGGTATATGCCCCAAAAAATTGAAAACAGGAACTCAAACAGATACTTCTACACCAGTGTTCATAGCAGTACTATTCACAGTAGCCAAAAGGTAGAAACAACCCAACTGTCCATCAACAGATGAATGGACAAGCCAAAAATAGTATATACAATGCAATGGAATATTATTCAGCCATAAAAAGGAATGAAGTGCTGATACATGCTACAACATGCATCAACCTTGCAGACATTATGATAACTGAAATAAGTCAGACACAAAACAACAAATATTGTATGATTTGTGCTTATCTGAAATATCCGTTGCTGTTGTTAGCTACCGTCCAGCCGACCCTGACTCATGGCTTGGGTGGTGCAAACAATTTGCAGTGACTGGCCCTAACCAGAAGGTTGGTGGCTCTAACCTACCCAGTAGCTCCACAGAAGAAAGGCTTGACATCTGCTTCTGTAAAGATTACAGCCAAGAAAACCCTATGGAGCAGTTCTACTCTGAAACACATGGGGTCACTATGAAATATCTAGAATAGGCAAATTCATAGAGATAGAAAGTAGATTAGACATTGCCAGGGAAAGTGGGAAAGGGGAGTTAACTGCTTAGTGGGTAGTGAATTTCTGTTTGGTATGATGAAAAAGTTTTGAAAATAGATATTGATGATGATTACACAACACTGTGAGTGTAATTAATGCCACTGAAATGTACAGTGAAAATGGTTAAAATGACATAATTCATGTTATATGTATCTTAACACAATTTAAAAAAAAAAACAAAACTGAGGGAATATGTTCAAAGACCTCGATATGGGAGGAAACCTGATATGGTGGAACTAGAAGAAGCTAGCATGACCAAGGGAGTTTGCAGGGAGAGAACAGTGTAAGAAAACAAGTCAAAACGGGCAGCTTCTGTCCAGAGGTGAGATGGGAAGGCAGAGAGAGTCAGAAGCTGGTTGAATGGACATGGGGAATCAGGGGTGGAAAGGAGGAGTGTGCTGTCACAGTATGGGGAGAGCAATTAGAGTCACATAACAATGTATGTATAAATTTTTGTATGGGAGACTAACTTGAAATATAAACTTCATTTAAAATTTTTTTGAATGAACCCAAGGTAGAAAAGGGGAGAGTGTGGACATGTCATGGGGTTGGTAACCAATGTCACAAAACAGTATGTGTATGAATTGTTTAATGAGAAACTAGAGTGCTCTCTAAACCTTCATCTAAAGTACAATAAAAAAAAATTAAAAGAAAAAAGAAAACGAGTTAGTTTAGATATCATCCTGCTAGCAATGGGACGTCTTTGGAGGATGTCAAGACAGGAAGTAATGAGGTCTGGTCTTTCAGAAAGACCCTTCTGGCTGCTTGATGTAGGGTTGTAGCAGAAGGATGTGGTCAAGTGCGTTGACCTGGGATGCTGATGTGCTAGACATGGTAAAACCAAAAACCAAACCTGTCGCAGTCGAGTAAATTCTGACTCTAAGTCACTCTATAGGACAGAGTACAACTGCCCCATAGGGTTTCCAAGGCTGTAATCTTTACAGAAGCAGACTGCCACATCTTTCTCCCGCAGAGCAACTGGTAGGTTCGAACTGCTGACCTTTCGGTCAGCAGCAGAGCGCTTAACTGCTACACCATGAGGGCTCCCAACTAGGCATGGTATGGAGACAGAAAGAAGCAAGGACGCTGTCAGGTTTCAGGTTAGGTCATTTAGATGATTGTTCTTCTACAGAAATGGGAAAGATGGAGGGAGGAAGGAAGTGAGTTAGAGGCATCATTGCAGTGAGCTCAAGTAGAGGGAAATGCAGGTTCAGGTGAGTGTGTGTACATATAGTCATCCTGCTGGACAAGGTCACCTAGAGCAGGGGTCAGCAAACCTGATGTGGGCAGCTGCTTGTTTTTGTAAATAAAGTTTTATTGGAATATGGCCACACCCATTCATTTACATACTGACCGTGGCTGTTTTTGTGCTATATTGGCAGAGTTGAGTAGTTGCAACAGAGACTATTTGGCTTGCAATGCTGAAAATGTTTACTATCTGGACCTTTACAGAAAAACTTTGCCAACCCCTGACCTAGAGTATAAGGACAGCCTGGGCCCATGTTGCAGGGCCTCTAACATCCAGAGTTCAGGCAGCCTAACAAGAAGACTGAGAAAGAACAGCCCATTTGTCAACAGAAAACCAGTTTTGGTGTCACAGATGCCAAGAAGAGCTTTTTCAAAAGGAAATGGCTGGCTACTAAATACAGCTAACTTGAAGACAGTAACTTCAGGACTAAAAAGCAGCCATTGGATTGGGGAACTTGGAAGGAACCAATTTCCATCACTAACTACAAAAAAGTGGAGGCAGAAACCAGCCTAGACTGGTTTGAAGAACGAAGGAGAAGTTGTGAGGTAGACAGTGAATATAGACACATCTTTGAGGATGGACTATGAAAAATAGAAGTGGAATGATTGCTGGAGAGATGGCAAGGGAGGAATCTAGGTTGAAGAAGCCAGAAAGTATTTTCATGCTGGTGGGAGTGATCCAGAGGAGAGAGGTGACCCTGGGGCAGTCTTTAAAGGCAAGAAGGGATGGGGTCCAGAGGGGCTATAGGAAGACTGATCCTTGAATAGAAGAACAGAAATGTGATTATGACATGTTGGTAGAGTTATAGATTGGTGGGAAGACCAATTAACTCCTGCTTGATCTTGATTTTGTCAATAAAACATGAAATTAGGTCATCAGTTGAGTAGAGTGGGGAGGATGTTTTGAAGAATATAAGGGAACCTCCATCTAACACTTGAGTATGAAATTTAAAATTCGTTCTGTGGCCCTAGTCCATATCATTACCTAGAACAAGCTCCTATTGGAAGCGCAAAAGCTTTGGTTCATGCCTGTCAGTAATATTGATCACACATGGCAAGGACATGCCGTGCTTGCATTTTCTCTCCTTTGCCCCTGATGCTGAGAGCAATCTTTTTGTTACAGATCCCGTTTCTGCGTAATATCACGTGGACCTTGTCCAACCTGTGCCGGTACAAGAACCCATACCCTTGTGCAAAGGTTGTCAAGCAAATGCTACCTGTCCTCTTCTACCTCCTGCAACACCATGACACGGAGATTCTCTCGGATACCTGCTGGGCCCTGTCCTACCTCACTGATGGCTGCAATGAGCGCATCGGCCAAGTGGTTGGCACAGGGGTCCTGCCCAGGCTGGTGGAGCTCATGAAGAGCTCAGAACTCAGTATCTTGGTAAATATTGTCTCAGGTACCACGTGTCTCTATGAGGACCTTCAGCCTGGAGTCTATGAATCATAATTCCTTGTAGCAAATTCTGTTGTCCTCCACCTGCCCACCCCACCCACAGGCCTTCCACAATCAGCTCTAACCCTTTCCCTATAACAGAACTTGCCATCTGTAATTTCCTGGTCTTTGCCATTCTTTAGCCAAAGACTTGAATCAATTTTGATCTAAAATCTGGTGGGTATGAAGTAATTTAGGAGCCCTGGTGGCACGATGGCAAACACTAGGCTGCTAACTGAAAGGCTGGCAGTTTGAACCCACCCAGTGGTTCCACTGGAGAAAGACCTGGCAATCTGCATCTGTAAAGATGACAGCCGAGAAAACAATATGGGATAGTTCTAGTTCTACTTTGTCACATGGGGTTGCTATGAGTCAAAAATTGACTCAGTATCACCTAACGACAATAAGTAATTTACTCTTTCTTAATCTGATGACTACAAAATACAGAAAAGCACCAAATGAAAATTACTTATAATCTGACCACCCAGTAAAACTATTCTTTTACTGCATTTCCTTCCAGTGGTCTATACATGTAGACTTTAACAGGTTGGCTTATATAGGGTATATTTTTTAGGAGGTAAACCTCATTGTAATGTTTGAACTTCCTACCCATTGCTGTGGAGTCATTCTGACTCATGGAGATCCTATAGGACAGACTAGAACTGCCCCATAGGGTTTCCAAGGCTGTATATGGAAGCAAACTGCTGCATCTTTCTCTCACAGAGTGACTAGTGGATTCAAACTGCCAACCTCTTGGTTAGCAGCTGAGTGCTTAACCACTGCACCTGCTTGAGTAAAGATTTACAGTGTTGGAAACCCTATGGACAGTTCCACTCTGTCCTATAGGTTGCTATGATACAGAATTGACTTGATGGCAACAGGTTGAACTTACACAAGCATAAAAGGAAATTTTCTCTTATTCCCTTACAGTTTGTTCTTTTAGATTACTTCAAATGTAGATGAAAAGCAAGTAAAACCAAAGCGAGCACTTCGCTATTATTAAACAGGGTTAGTTACATAATATACTGCTTTGAAATGTGGGTATTTTATATTTAAGATGCCTCTAGTCTGCCGCTTTTGATTTCTATGCCTACTATTACATATTACATAGCCTTAACGATTATCTAGGGGCCCTGGTGGTGCAATGGTTAAGAGCTGCTAACAGAAAGGTCAGCAGTTCAAATCTACCTAGCAACTCCTCGGTAGAAAGACCTGGCAATCTGCTCCCATAAAGATTACAGCCTAAAAGACCCTATGGGGCAGCTCTACTCTGTCACATGGGGTCACTAGGAATCCAAATCAACTCAACGGCACCTAACAACAATAACAATGATTATCTATTCTGAGATTAGGATAGTATGTTAAGGGTGGTTTGTGGGTAGTGTTTGTAGGGGGAGTGTGAAGAATACTGTAAGAAACTGTTTATCCCAGGGGTCTGGAGCCCAGTTGAAGCTGTTCTGGCAAGGCTCTGATTGGGCTATAGCACAACTTATACCTCTTATCTGAGTAGCAGGCATGTGGTAATACAGGGTAGGAAAATTCTAGAACTGTCGATGGGCTGCGCTGGGGCTGCAACCTTGCTACTACAATACAGAGAAATGAAACTAAATCCACAGTCAATCCTCCTAGTTCAGGTGCTGTCTTGAGCCCAATTGTAGATCCATCTGGGGGACCTTCAGTGTCATTGCAAGGGGGTTTGTGAATACATCAAGAAATGCCACTGGGATCCCATTATCAAATACCAAAACATCAAACCTGTTGCCATCAAGTCCATTCTAACTCACGGTGATCCCATGGGCTCCATAGGGTTTTCTTGGCTGTAATCTTTACGGAAGCAGATCTCCAGGCCTTTCTTCCATGGCACCACTGGGTGGGTTTGAACCATCAACCTTTAGGTTAGTAGTCGAGCGCAAACTGTTTGTACCACCCCAGGACCTCCGGGATCTCATTAGCACCAATTAAATACACAGCAGAATCTTGACACTCTTACTAAACACGTACTCAGTAGAAATTATTACATGATAAACACTATATCAATTTAACGCTTTTCCCACTGTAAGGATATGAAAAAGATAGCATCATTCCTTGGTAAAGACATCCCTTGATCTCTCTCGCACTTGAGCCAGAGTGATTGGTAAGCTGACAATTACCTTTAAACTATGCAAACAGCCATGGATGAGCCGAATTAAAAAGGATCGTGGGTATCATCGTTGTCCACAGCTTCCAGAGAAGTATTAGCATAGCATGACTAATGTTTGGGAGAGCATCTTCTAAGGTGATAAATTTGCAGTATGTAGTTAACATCTAGCCTTGTTCTTCCAGACCCCCTCTCTCCGTACAGTGGGGAACATCGTCACAGGAACGGATCAGCAGACCCAGGTGGCCATTGATGCAGGCATGCTGAGTGTGCTGCCCCAGCTTCTAAGTCACCCTCGGTCCTCCATCCAGAAGGAGGCGGCCTGGGCCCTGAGCAACGTGGCTGCAGGGCCCTGCCAGCAAATCCAGCAGCTGATCACTCACGGCATGCTGCCTCCCTTGGTGGCTCTGCTGAAAAATGTAAGTCACATTCTGCAACACCCATGGCCAGAGACTACTTTCCAACCAGCCCTGTGTTGAACTCCTTTGGGAGTTCAGACACAGGCTAAGAAGCAAATTACAGTCGCGTCTCATTATTTGTGGTAGGTATGGTCTGTAACAGATGGTCTATAACAGAGCCCTGGTGGCCCAATGGTTAAGCGCTTGGCTATGCGTCAGTAGTTTGAACCCCCCACAAAGGTTCTGCCAGAGAAAGACCTGGCGATCAGCTCCGTAAAGATGACAGCCTAGGAAACCCTATGGGTCACTTCTATTCTGTCACATGGGTTCACTGAGTCCGAATTGACTCAACGGCACCTAACAACAACAACGTAGTCTATAAAGTCACCATGAACGCTGGATTAGTGAATACTGGACCATTGCTCTAGGAATAATGCAGGGTTAGGTGCCTGCAAGCCTCTGGTCACATTTTCATCAGCTGTCAGTATGTAACCTCTTTTTATGGTGCTTCTATTTAAAGACATGTTTTTTAATATAGATTGTTGTTTCATTAACATTGGACTCACGGCCAACAGCGCTGTAACTGGTGTCTGAACGAAGCTTATCTCACACACGTATTTCCTCCATCGGGCACATCACAGAACTCTTGCACTGAGGAGCGCTAGACAGCACGTCAGCACTAGGCAGGGCGGGGGGCGGAGCGCATTTTAAATGGTGAAATCACCAACAAAGCACAAAACTGAAAAATGTGGTGCTAAATAGACCATGAAAAGGACACTTGTTCACAGTATGAGTGCTGAGACAAGGCAGAGCGTTACCTCGTTCAGCCTCAGCTGGGAACACACGTTGTCTGGAGACTAAAAATTTTCCCCACTCCGTGCATGTCCATGAATGACCGCAAAAGCACCGAGAGTATGGATTGATTTGGGATTACAAGTAACTTCTAGCATGCAGGCGAGTTTGCAAATATGGAATCGGCAAATAATGAGGATCGACTGTAACTGAGATCACAACAAACTGATGAAATGTTAGTTTCCTAGCTTTCCCTGTAAAAGGAAGGGGCATCAATTTTGGAGAGCCCATTAAAAATTAGGAAGGCTAAAAGAGCATTGCACAATGAAAAGCGGACTCCACAGCTCAAATGTCCTGAAAAATCTTAAGCTGTTCAATATTGGCTCACCTCTATCTGGTGTTAAAAGAATGTACCATCTATCAACCAGCTAAGAAGGGAGTTTATTTTTTACTTGCTTACTTATATTTGTCTAGGGGAAAGAACAGGAAGAACATACCAGGTTACGGTGATGTTATATCACTGCAAAAAGGTGGTCTTTTCAGTATACAAATATATTTGATCCAAGTGTCAATATAAACAAAAAATCCAAATATAAACATAGAAATACAATAAAGTTTCCTTCTTCCTCCAGAGTCCCCACTTCCCTTCCCTAGGAGCAACTATTATCATTATTTCCTTTTGCCCCTTTCAACGAATGAGCTATGTTTAAACCATTTACACATGAAACAAGTCAGTAGTGTTTCCTGGGGTTGATGGGAGAGAGGGAGGTAGAGTAGAATGGGGAGAAGAAGCTACTGGCAGGGTTCCTGTTCTAAGGTTGGATGGTGGGTCCCCAGGTATGCACTAGGCATGAGGGGGAAAGTCCAGGTGTGAGACCCAAGTCACAGCAGCTTCTGATTTATTTGACACTTCCTATTATTTCTACTGTGAATCTATGATTCAGTGGTAGAATTCTCACATTCCACGTGGGAGACCCAGGTTCAATCCCTGGCCAATGCACCTCAGTGGAGGCTTGCTTGTTATGATGTTGAACAGGTTTTAGCAGAGCTTCCAGAATAAAGTGGACTAGGAAGAAAGGCCTAGTGATCTACTTCTGAAAATCAGCCAATGAAAACCCTATGGATCCCAACAGTCTGATCCACAACCAATCATGGAGCTGATGCAGGACCCAGCAGCATTTCGCTTCGTTGTGCATGGGGTCCCCTTGAATTGGGGCTAAATCAATGGTAGCTAACAACAAATTCTTTCTACTGAGGGTTTGTACATATTCTAATAAGAAACATCTGATTATGAATCAAGTAAGGTCTTATTTTAAGCTGTACCTTTTTAACTCTAACTTGCTTGGTTTTTGTTTCTGTTTGTTGTAAACTGAGGTTGCATTGTTTCCTGGCCATAAAATGGGAATAATGCCATTAATTGCCCAGGCTTTAAAGGATCCATGATAAAATACTCCCATATTGCTGGGCAAGGTGCTCTTTATATATGCAAGCAATTCATTAATCTACTAGATCACATTAGTGTGGCCAGCTATGGTGAAATGAGTTCCTTTATGTGGCCTTTTGCTTTGGTTGTTTGGAAAAACAGCTTGAGAGATTTCCCCCCTAAGCCCTGAAGAGTTACCTTTGCCCTGATTTCTACACCAGAGGGTTTACTTTTGCCCAGGTTGATTGACATTTCCTGGGTAGATTGTAAACAACTCAGTTTGATACTTTCTGCCTGGCCCTGAGCTTCAGCCTGCACTATCTGATTGGTGTGTACCTTGCAGGGATTGGTCAATAGACTATGTAAATGAGGTGAGTTGTAGCCCAGCCCTGCCTACTATGCAAATGAAGTATCTGTGGCCTACCAAGAGGGGATTGGTCAGTTCGTGGCCCTGGGTAGGAGGGTCATACCTTGAAATTTATGAGGATTTTGTATATATATTCAGCCAACCCCACAGAGGTTAGGCAGACAGAAAATAGAAGAGAAACAGCAGGAAGAAAGCAGAAAGAAGAAGCAGAGAGAAGAAGAAAAGAACCCCCTAAAAGAGTTGTAACATTGGCTAAGGAGTGTAACACTGAAGACAGAGGCCTGCAAGGGGCCTAGTGGCAGAGCTGGCAGCAACGGTTGACAGGGCCAAGAGGAGCTCAGAAAGCTATCCTGTGCTGAAGAAGGGAGACTTTGCTTACATGCTTCCTGATCCCGAGTTGTACACTGTTCCTTAATAAACCACTTAACTGTAAGTCTGGCCTATGAGTTCTGTGTGGCCATTGCAACAGATTATCAAATCCAGCAAAGAAGAGAGTGCCATGGGAGAGACAGCTGGTGTCAGAACTGGTAAAGTTTGGAGAGTGGAGGTATGTCTGACCTCTACCCCGTAAGGATCAGCCTTGGGCTGATCTTGATTCGCATTATCCCCCCTGAAGTTAGCTAGGTTCTGATGCTATTACTACCACCCTTTTATCCTAGCTTTGTAGCTATGGAGCTTCTTGTCCAAAGTCTTCACTGTGTCGGAAAGACTAGTAACGTAGACATCACCACCGCCATTTGCCGTCAAGTCTGACTCATAATGACCCCATATGTGTCAGAGTAGAACCATGCTCCATAGAATTTTACATGGCTGATTTTTCAGAAGTAAATCACTAGGCCTTTCTTCCAAGCAGCCTCTGGGTGGACTCAAACCTCTGAACTTTGGGTTAGCAGCTAAACATGTTAACCATTTACGCTACCCAGGAACTCCAGTGTAGATATAGGATAATATAATCTAAAATTCCAAGCAGAATTCCTGGTTCAATACAGATTGCCTAAGGAGCCCTGGTGGCACAATGGTTAAACGCTCTCTACTAACTGAAAAGTCAGCAGTTTGAACCCAATAGCTGCTCTGCAGGAGAAAAGGCCTGGTAATCTACTCCCATAAACATTACTAGGAATCCCTACATGCTGTCCGTTAGGGTCACTATGAGTTGGAGTCAACTTGACAGCATACAACAACAGCAACATAGATTACTTGGATTGGTTCTATTTTTCTCATAGCCTTGCTTAGGGAAATGAGTCTGTTTGACCCTAGAATCTCTAAGACCCTGTTCAAGTCTGCTTGCCTGATTCCTGCCTTCTCAAAGATGCTGTCTTCTCAAGAGAGAGAGGCAGGCTGCCAAGGTGCTGTATATAAATTGCACATATGTCCTGGCTGTCAGAAGCCTACCTAGACATTGGACCAAGTTGGCATCACTACATTTAGGCTCTTCATGATCTGTAAAGAATGTAAACGTTCTCTTTCTGCAGGGAGAATTTAAAGTCCAGAAAGAGGCTGTCTGGACGGTGGCTAACTTCACAACTGGGGGCACTGTGGACCAGTTGATCCAGCTTGTCCAGTCTGGGGTCTTGGAGCCACTGGTAAATCTGCTTAGTGTCCAAGACCCCAAAATTGTTCTCATCATCCTTGATGTCATCTCCTGTATTCTCCAGGTGAGCTTTCTGAGCAGGTTAGTAGCAGCCTCTAATTTTTTTTTTCTGATTTTCTTGATTTTTTTTATTGTGCTTTAGATGAAGGTTTATAGAGCAAATTAATTTCTCATTAAACAATACGTATATTGTTTTGTGACATTGGTTGCCAAGCCCACGACGTGTCAACACTCTCCCCTTCTCAACCTTGGGTTCCCCATTATCAGCTTTCCTATCCCCTCCTGCCTTGTCTTCCTTGCCCCTGGGCTGATGTGCACATTTAGTCTCGTTTTATGGGCCCATCTAATCTTTGGCTGAAGGGTGAACTTCAGGAGTGACTTCAGTACTAAGTTAAAAGGGTCGCTGGGGGCCATACTCTCAAGGTTTCTCCAGTGTCTGTCAGACCAGTAAGTCTGATCTTTTTTTGTGAGTTAGAATTTTGTTCTACATTTTTCTCCAGCTCTGTCTGGGACCCTCTATTGTGATCCCTGTCAGAGCAGTCAGTGGTGGTAGCCAGGCACCATCTAGTTGTGCTGGACTCAGTGTGGTGGAGGCTGTGGTAGTTGTGTTCCATTAGTCCTTTGGACTAATCTTTCCCTTGTGTCTATGGTTTTCTTCATTCTTCCTTGCTCCAGACGGGGTGAGACCGTGGAATATCTTAGATGGCTGCCCACAAGATTTTAAGGCCCCAGAAGCTACTCACCAAAGTAGGCTGTAAAACATTTTCTTTATAAACTATATTATGCTAGTTGAGCTAGATGTCCCCCAAGACCACGGTCACCAGCCCTCGGCCTAGTAATTCGGTCCCTCAGGGAGTTTGGATGTGTCTATGAAGCTTTCATGATCTTGCCTTGGTTAAGTTGTGCTGGCTTCCCTGGTATTATGTATCGTCTTACCCTTCACCAAAGTTACTACTTATCTATTGTCTATTTAGTGTTTTTCCCTCCCCACCCCCCCTTCCCTTGTAACTATCAAAGATTGTTTCTTTTTGTGTGTAAATCTTTTCGTGAGTTTTTATAACAGAGGTCTCACACAATATTTGTCCTTTTGTGATTGACTTATCCAACTCAGCATAATGACCTCCAGATTCATCCATGTTGTGAAATGTTTCGCAGATTCCTTGCTGTTCTTTATTGTTGCATAGTATTCCACTGTGTATACGTACCATAGTTTATCCGTTCATCTGTTGATGGGAACTTAGGTTGTTGCCATCTTTTTGCTATTGTGAATAATGCTGCAGTGAATATGAGTGTGCATACGTCTATTTGTGTGATGGCTCTTATTTCTCTAGTGTATATTCCTAGGAGTAGCATGCTGAATCGTACGGTATTTCTATTTCCAGCTTTGTAAGGAAGCGCTATATTGTTTTCCAAAATGGTTGTACCATTTTGCATTCCCAACAGCAGTGCATAAGAGTTCCAGTGTCCTTGAAGCCTCTCCAACATTTGTTATTTTCTGTTTTTTTGATTCATGCCAGTAATGTTGGAGTGAGATGGTATCTCATTGTAGTTCTGATTTGCATTTCTCTAATGGCTAGTGATCGTGAGCATTTCCTCATGTGTCTGTTAGCCATCTGAATGTCTTCTTTGATGAAGTGTCTGTTCATATCCTTTGTCCATTTTTTAATTGGATTACTTGTCTTTTTGTTGTAGAAGTGTTGGATTTTCTTGTAGATTTTAGAGATTAGAACTTGGTCTGATTTGTAATGGCCAAAAATTTCTTCCCAGTCTGTAGGTTCTCTTTTTACTCTTTCGGTGAAGTCTTTTGATGAGTGTGTTTAATTTTTAGAAGATCCAAGTTATCTAGCTTATCTTCTGGTGTTTGTGAATTGTTAGTTAATGGTTTGTATCCTGTTTATGCCATGTATTAGGGCCTCTAACGTTGACCCTATTTTTTCTTCTACGATCTTTATAGTTTTTGGGTTCATATTTAGGTCTTTGATCCATTTTAAATTACTTTTGTGTATGGTATGAGGTATGGATCCTGTTTCATTTTTTTGCAGATGGACATCTAGTTTTTCCAGCACTATTTGTTAAAAAGACTGTCTTCCCCATTTAATGGACTTTGGGCCTTTGCTGAAGATCAGGTGACCGTAGGTGGGTGCGTTTATGTCTGAGTTCTCAATTCTGTTCCATTGGTCAATGTGCTGTTGTTGTACCAGTACCAGGCTGTTTTGACTACTGTAGCTGTATAGCAGGTTCTGAGATCAGGTAGTGCGAGGCCCCTACTTTATTCTTCTTCTTCAATAGTGCTTTACTTATCCAAGGCCTTTCCCTTTCCATATAAAGTTAATGATCAGTTTTTCCATCTCATTAAAGAATGTTATTGTATTTGGATTGGGACTGAATTGTATTTGTAGACTGCTTTGGGTAAAATTGACATTTTCACAATGTTGAGTCTAAGTATCCATGAGTGTGGTATGTGTTTCCATTTATGTAGGTCTCTCTTGGTTTCTTGCAAGAGTGTTGTGTAGTTTTCTTTTTATAGGTCTTTTACATCCCTGGTTAGATTTATTCCTAAGTATTTTATTTTTTTAGGGGCTATTATAAATGGTATTGTTTTCCTGATTTCCTTTTCGTAGTTCTCTTTATTGGTGTATAGGAATCCAACTGATTTTTGTATATGTACCTTGTATCCTGCTATTCTACTGAATCTTTCTATTAGTTCCAGTAGTTTTCTCATGAAGTCTTTTGAGTTCTCTATATATAATATTATATCATCCAGAAATAGGGACAGTTTTACTTCTTTCTTACCAGTTTGGATGCCCTTTATTTCTTTTTCTTGCCTTATCACTCCAGCTAGGACTTCCAGCACAATGTTAAATAGGAGTGGTAATAAAGGGCATACTTGTCTTGTTCCTATTCTGAAGGGGAATGTTTTCAGCCTCTCTCCATTAAGAATGATGTTGGCAGCCTCCAAATTTGATTAAGACATTTCATTTTGTTCTTAAAATCCAAGTAAGATTCTCTACCTTACCGCTGTTCGCCCCCCTCCACATATTTCTATGCATAACAAAAACAAGAGGCCTTTCAAAAAAGGACCATCATCTTCATTTTCTCCAGTGACTCTCTTGTGCCAGGCCCTGTTTTAGACACTTGGGGCATGATAGAGCACAGTCCTTGCTCTCATGGAGCATACGTATTAGGGGCTGAGGGGACCCACACACCAGGTAGTATTATGGACTGAATTGTGTCCCCCCAAAATATGTGTTGGAATCCTAACCCCTACACCTATTCCTTTTGGGAATAGGATTTTCTTTGTTATGTTAATGAGACCACATCAGTGTAGAGTGTGTCCTAAACCAAATCACTTCTGAGTTATAAGGAGCAGCATAGACACAAAAAGAAGCGCACAGGTGAAGAGAAATGCCATGTGAAGATCATCGAGGAATAGAAGCTAAAAGAGACAAGGATTTCCCCAGAGCCAACAGAGAGAGAGAGCCTTCCCTAGAGCTGGTACCCTGAATTTGAACTTCTAGCCTTCTGAACTATGAGAAAATAGCTTATTTCTTTTCTTTAAAGCTGCTCACTTATAGTATTTCTGTTATAGCAGCACCAGGAAACTAAGGCAGGTAGAAAAGTCTGGATAAAGTAAAGCAGGTAAAGGGATAATAGTCACTGATGTCTTCGAGTTGAAAGGGGATATTGTTATATGCAGTGGTCAGAGAATGCTTCTCTGAGGAAGGACATTTGAGCAAAGACCTGAAAAAAGTGAGTGGTCTTGTGGATGTCTGGGGAAGAGCCTTCCATGCAAAAGGAATAGCAAGATAGGAGGACGCGACCGGAGCTGAGAAAAAGGGATGGAAAATGGTGGGTGATAAGGTTCAAGGCAGCCAGGTGCCAGTTATCAGTAGGGCCCATGAGAACTTCAACTTTTATTCTCAGTGAGACGGAGAAACCAATGGAAGGTTTATAGCAGGTGGAAAAAAAAGTCAGTGAGTCACCCAGTTTATTTAGAGGCTAAACCAAAGGATGTATTTGTAGGAGCCGCAAAATGCTAGCAAGGATAGATCTTAAGGGGCCACACTGGAGTTACTTTCCTACTTAGCTTCATGGCTGGGAAAATGGACTATACAGCACTGAAGTGTTACTCAAGAAAAGTCTTAGTCTTAGTGACCTAGTGCTGCTATAACACAAATACCACAAGTGGGTGGCTTTAAAGAACAGAAGTCTATTTTCTCACTGTTCTAGAGGCTAAAAGTCCAAATCAGGGTCTTGGCTGTGTCAATTCTTTGCTTGTCTGTAGTCCCAGGTTCCTTGACAATCCTCACATGGCATCTGTCTTACCCTGTGTGTATGTGTGTGTATGTGTCTGATCTGCTTTTTTACAGTCAAAAGTGATTAGGTTTATAACCCACCCTACTAGGGTGTGATCTAATTAACATAATAAAGAAAATCCTATTTCCCAAGAGAATCACATCCACAGGTTTAAAACCCATTGCCGTCAAGTCGATTCTGACTTATAACAACCCTATGGGACAGAGTAGAACTGCCCCATAGGGTTTCCAAGGAGCGGCTGGTGGATTTGAACTGCTGGCCTTGTGGTTAGCAGCTGAGTTCTTAACCACTGCGCCACTAGGGATCCATCCACAGGTATAGGGGTCAATATTCCAACACATATTTTGGAAAGACACAATTTAATCCATAACAGTCTTATTTCTGAAATAGAACAAGGTTAAACCAATATTTACATACTATTGTGTGAGTTATATATTGCTGTGTAGCAAATTACCCCTTAGTGGCTTAAAAAAATTACCATTATCTCACACAGTCTCTGAGTTATGAGTCTGGGGACAGCTTAGCTGGATGGTTCTGGCTCAGGGTCTCTCATGAGGTGGCAGTCAAGATGTAGCTGGGGCTGCCATCATCCACAGGCTTGACTGGGACTGGAGGATCACCTTCACGGTGGCTCACTCAGGTGCCTAGCAATTTACTCTTGCCATGTGGACCTCTCTGTAGAGCTGCTTGAGTGTCCTCACATCATGGCAACTGGCTTCCCCCAGAGCAAGATGAAGCCACAGTGTC